TGAACAGTATTAACAGACCTTTGCTGTATATATGCATCTTCAACGGGTAAATATGTTCTCCTACATTAGCAATGGTATTACAGGCTGAATTTTTGGAAGTTTCACGATTTTCGTTCATTAGTGAAGTGGGTGGTAAATACACAGAGGGATTCGTTAAGAAACGACCCGGTGGAACTCGGGTGTTTATCGGTTGGAAGAGTTTTTGTGTTCGACATTGCCTCCGATGGTCAAAACGATGGCTTATTCTCAAGGTGTGTTTGGGTGATTTTGTACACGTAATTCAGAAAACATTCTCATCAGTGGATCGCTCTCATATTCCATGGCATTTGTCCTTGTAAATCGCACACATAACTTCGCAGTCATTTCTAATATGGCCAACAAAATAGGTTCAGATAATTAGATACAAGCCAAGCCATAGCCCAGCTCAGGCTCGGTAACATTAATGATAGACTGATTGCAATATGAACACAATCTCTCGGCTAACACTGAACAACTTCCCCAATGGCTTCGAGATAGGGCGTTAACCGGTAACTGGTACATCACAGGTTCGACTTCGTTTGCGGAGGGAGCTTCACTTTTGCTTGAAACTGAGTGGTGTACCAGTGTCATCAAACTTAGGTTCACATAATAATATCAGTCATAATTTCATTTGATTACTTCATATAACGACTCATCACTTCGAAGTGGTATCATTTTATGATGAATTATGAACCTCAGGATACATCAGTATGTTATATGGATGCGCGAACTGAGCAGATTCGTTTTGTTCTATTGTTCGATCGTGATTTTGAAGTGTCCGCGGGACTCACCGAAACTGAAGGACTTCCATCGGGATTGACGATCACTAATCAGCAACAGTTAATATCTCTTTCAAATTTTTTCATCGTGTTTCGTCTCTGCAAAATGTTTCATTTTGCTCAGTTTTCTTTGTATTCATCCAAGTATTAACTTTGCGAGCAAACCGACTGCAATACCACTCCAGTCAGCCTGTGGTAAAACATCAAGGTTCAGAGAGGTGAACGACAAATTGAGAGGCTGATTACTGCATCAGCTTCCACCATTTTCGATCCAAAGCCAAGTATCTGAAGGCAGTCAAAAATTTCCATTCAATTTCAGTGAATTAGCCTTGAAATGTGCCAGTCCACTGGATGCAGAGAAGTGGAAAGTTGCGATATTGGAATCGATGAATGGATCAGGTCGTATTTGGCGTGAACCGCATCCGTACGGTTCAACATTCCCATTGCGACGGACACAGTCGTGTCAATGGTTTGTTTGCATGAAATCGATTTGATTTGAGTGAATTCATTTGAATGTTCACATTTGAAGGTTTGTTGACGGTCGAAAGTATATGGAACACGCCGCCAATATGATGGAGTTAGCGCAAGAGGAGATTTTTATCGCAGATTGGTGGTTGTCGCCTGAAATTTACTTGAAGCGACCGCTGATCGAAGGAAATCGCTGGAGACTGGATGAACTGTTGAGGGTATGCATATCATGGATTGTTTTACTGACATTCTTGTTTGATCCTGTTATTATTCACTATTACTAGGATTGCAATTGATATTATCACATTTAACAAGATTTTCGCCCACAAACGAGAAATTA